AGGGGAGTTTTTCATGATGTGTCCCCTCTAGGGCTGGACTTCTAATTGAAAAGTAATTGAAACCCAAATTCCGAGCTCTAATGGCTGTTTGCCATTTCAGTTATTTAGTTGTTTTATTTCCTGTTAAAATGTCCCCCAGTGTGTGTGTTTATGTACTTTCCCCTTAAAAAACTGTGTGTGTGTAGTCAGTGACTCCTCCCTGTCCTGCTCAGCTCCCAGAGTCTGGAGAACAGGGAGATGTTAGCTAGTACTAACTGCCTTCATTTTCCAGCAGCATTTATTTATGGACACACTTTGACCCACACTGTTCATTTACTGCCACACTTACAACAACCTCGCTGACTTTCACCGTCACTTTCAGCTGGTCACTCTCACATTTGGTCACACGCACACAACATTGCCATTAAAAGACCTAACTTCGCTGCTGTTATAACGGCACCTGTCATGCAGATGTCCTTGAATGAATGAGAAGAGGAAGCGAGCAAAGTGTTGACTGTTACACAAGATTAATGCACATTAATGCAGATTTTTTCTGGGTTTCACATGACTAGTATGGCTATAAAATCTTTGTTATTTATACCATGGTCATGGAAAATGGTTAAAATCTAAATGGCTGGCAGTAATCATCTATCAAGACAAACTTATCGCAACTCTGGTCGCTAATTAAAACGTTATCTTGTGTGTTTAGGCCGTAGAATCTCGTCTCTCCTGGCTTTAGCTTTATATGTAGAGTATGGTATCATGGGTGTGGTATCTATCTTCTCATCTCTCTCAGGGAGAAAGCAAATCTTACTTTCTTACCATTATCATTATTAATGGTACACTACACTATGCAAGACCGATAGCAATATCAATGTACAGTGGGGGAAAAAAGTATTTGACCCCTTGCTGATTTTGCAGGTTTGCCCACTTACAAAGAATGCAACAATCTACAATTTTAATCATATGTACATTCTAACAGTGAAAGACAGAATCCCAAAGAAAATTCCAGAAAATCACATCATATGAATTTATAAAAATTGATAGCCATCTGATGAGGAAAAACAAGTATATGACCCCCTACCAAACAGCAAGTATTCTGGCTCCTACAAGCCAGTTAGTCTTTCTTTAAGACACAGCCCCAATCCCAACCAATTATCTACATCAAATACACCTGCCTCACCTTGTTACCTGTATAAAAGACACCTGTCAACACCCAAACAACCAGCATCCAACATCACCACCATGGGCAAGACCAAAGAGCTTTCTACGGACATCAGGGACAAGATTGTTGATCTGCACAAGGCTGGGATGGGCTACAAGAGAATCGGAAAGCAACTTGGAGAGAAAAGATCAACTGTCGGTGCAGTTATCAGGAAATGGAAGAAGCACCACACCACCGCCAACCTCCCTCGGTCTGGGCCTCCACACAAGATCTCGCCTCGTGGGGTGTCCCTGATCATGCGAACGGTGAGGAATCATCCCAAAACCACAAGGGGGGAACTGATGAATCAACTGAAGGCAGCTGGGACCACAGTTACAAAAGAAACGGTTGGTAACACACTACGCCGTCATGGATTGAAATCCTGCAGCGCACGCAAGGTCCCCCTGCTCAAGAAGAAACATGTACAGGCCCGCATGAAGTTCGCCATTCACCACCTGGACGACTCAGAAGAGGCCTGGAAGAAGGTGATGTGGTCAGATGAGACCAAAATAGAACTTTTTGGCCTCAACTCGTCGTGTTTGGAGGGCAAAGAACACCGAGTACAACCCAAAGAACACCATCCCCACCGTCAAGCATGGTGGTGGCAACATCATGCTTTGGGGGTGCTTTTCAGCCAAGGGGACGGTACAACTCCATCGTATTGTGGGGAGGATGGACGGGGCCATGTATCGTGGAATTCTGGACCAACATCTCCTTCCCTCAGTGAGAGAGCTGAAGATGGGTCGAGGATGGGTGTTTCAGCACGACAACGACCCTAAGCACACCGCCAAAGCAACAAAAGAGTGGCTGAAGAAGAAGCACATCAAGGTTCTGGAGTGGCCTAGCCAGTCTCCAGACCTGAATCCAATTGAAAATCTTTGGAGGGAGCTTAAAATTCGAGTTGCCAGGCGACAACCTCGGAACCTGAATGATTTGGAGGCTGTCTGCAGGGAGGAGTGGGCCAACATCCCTGCCGAAATGTGCACAAACCTTGTCACCAACTGTAAAAACCGTTTGACATCTGTGCTGGCCAATAATGGCTTTTCTACAAAATATTAACATGCTGTTTGTCCAGGGGGTCAAATACTTGTTTTTCCTCATCAGATGGTTATCAATTTTAATAAATTCATATGATGTGATTTTCTGGAATTTTCTTTGGGATTCTGTCTTTCACTGTTAGAATGTACATATGATTAAAATTATAGATCGTTGCATTCTTTGTAAGTGGGCAAACCTGCAAAATCAGCAAGGGGTCAAATACTTATTTCCCCCACTGTATTGAGCTTTTTAACTAAGCCACACTGTTGCTATTCTTAGAGTTTAATACTAATGCATTCATTTAAAAATAACACCTGTGTCATAGGTGTGTGGTTACTGTACGGTTACTAGAAACTAATTGACACCTGCAAGTCAACTGGAGTGAAGTTTCTTGTTCCTGCAGTTGTTAAAGAAATGAGCTGTAAAATGTGTTTATTAGATTGATTGTTAGTTTGGCAATTATCTACTTTGTTTTAAGTTTCTGTCCTCTCTTTTTATCTCAAACATTTCAAATAAGATTTAAAATGTGTCACTCATCCGTTCTATCACTTTCTTTGTTGAAATTCTGTGTAGGACAAATAGAAACAGTCTTTGTAACAGAGTGTAACAGTAGCATTGACTGTCCATGCTTTTTAAATTCAAAAGAAAAAAGTAATCGAGTTTCAAATGCAAGGAAAATGAAAACGCAAGTAAAACAAGAAATCTTAGTGTATCTTAGTGATAAGTCACTATTTGTCTTACATTATATAGACCAGTCAGCAAAACAAAATCAAAAATCAACAGATTTATTGAGAATGAAGGTAACTGTTAGTTGCAGACTTCCATCCTAAAATTGTAACAGTTCATGGGCATTAGCTCCTGCCATAAGTTCTGTGGTTGAAACTATCCTAATAACCCTTTGGCTTCTCAGAAAGGGTATACCTTCACTGATATCTAGTAGTAGGATCCATAGCACTTAGTGAGTCATGCACAACATCTGATGGCAAAGATTTGAACTATCCCTTTAACAAAAAAATCCATATTTTTGTATATGGTTTGTTTTGTGGGTATAGATCAAGGTTATGAAAGAGGCCAGAGGTGGTATGAATCCAGGCAAGAACTAATAAATGGAGCTGGCCTAGTGCCAGTCCAGATGTGAAAACCGGATCCTCAGCAGTATCTTAGAGACTCTGGGCCAGATCCAGTATGGAACTGGTCCAGATCTGGCCCACATTTGGGCCAAATGACTACAAAATAATTGTCATCCGTTTGGGAGCTGGACCAGTGCTGGCCCAGATGTGAAAATCCGCACCGGCATTGTGCTAAAGGACACCGGCCCGGATCCGTTTGACATATCTGGGATGAAGTACCTATGATCTCGTTCCACATTTTATCGTGTGTCATGTAATGTGGAGAACTGGTCTTGGTCTTGACTCGTCTGGCCCTCCCTCTGTCTTTGTCTCGGCCCCTAAAAGTCTCGGTTTCGATAAATTCTGGTCTTGGTCTTGACTTGGTCTTGACTACAACACTAGCGTCTATTTCTGATTTCCAAAGTGTTTTGATGAAGAAGAAGATATACTTATTATAATTATATTATATTATATATATTATTATTACTAATTATATTAATCCTGCAAGGGGAAATTCAATGTTTTCACTCTGTTCACTCTGGTCCGAAATACACACACACATACATACAGGACTCATAGCAACACACAGAGAGATGTCAGAGTGAGGGGGCTGCCACTCAATGCTCTACAAGATTGCAAAGCATCTGTACTTATATTTCCATAATAATACACAAATTACTCGATAAATTACACTTTGTCCGATGATGTCCATTTTATGAAATATCATGTGGTGCGACCATCAACAAACGACCACTTTGGGAATTTTATGTTGAAATCCATTAGAAGACAGGAAGTTTAATAATATACCAATTTGCCAAGGACCCATTGAAACAGCAAGTAGATTTGTAACTCTCTCAAATCTGGAAAAATTAAAAATGATAGCAGCTGGTATGTAGTTGCCAGTTTTGGATATCATGTAGTATGACCTCAGAAAAACAATGAATATAAAGTTATTACTACCAATATTTGTTTTGACCTTTTGTTGGAAGCCTCCTTGTTTTGTTTAGGTGGCCTATTCTGTGCCTGTAAATTTTCACTAAATTAGAAAATATCATGTTGTGCAACAATTGTGTTATTTTCAGTTTGAAGCAAACTTTAGCCCTAACAAAATGTAGCAAAGCATTTTTCAATGGAAATGGTGGTGCCTTGAACATCCTCTTGCGTACGCCATCCACTGGACTTCACTGTCTTTTAAATGCTGCTGATTGGGTAACACCTCTACACACCAAATAAACAAGAAAAAACATATTTGCAGTTAACACCACATGCCTGCAGCGCTCTGATATAACTGTTGTTGTGATTTGGCGCTATAAAAATAAAATTGAATTGAAATTGAATTGAATTGCTGTTAATGAAATTAGATTAAATGTCAAGTTATAAGTTTGTTCAAAATAAAGCCGTGAATGTGCACTGCACTAAAATAAATGTTTGTAATGTGTTTAAGAAATGTTTGTGTTGTCAAAAATTCTGTTAAATTTGAATAACATCTGGTTAAAATATATTTTTGGTATAGAATTTTTTGTTTATTGATCTCTATAAATATATATTTCAGGATATGCAGTGTTCATGTCATTTGTGGTACGACCAATAATAACAATAACTGTATTAAATTAGAAATAAAATATCTCATTCCTGTGACTAAAATATTAATTACTGATACAGTATGTTAATATTTTTTTAACATTTTTATCAGTTTTATTCCATTTACAGAGAAAATTATTAAATTAACCACATTAAAGAAGGGGACTGTGACATTAGAAAACAAAAATACAAGATCATTATTTACAAAAACCATTACATTGTATCTAAAACATTCAAGTAGATTTACCATTCTGTCCAATTATGCTGCATGACTTCATCAGAAAAACACCAACATAAAAAGGCTGTTATGGTTTGGATTGATAAAAACAGGTCAGGAGTCAGAAGTGCTTTGACTGTAGCCTACAAGCATACTTAAACACGTGCAAGCAGTTAAAACACAAATCTTTGGGTGTAATTGTAAGTTGTAAATGTATGTATGCAAAGAGTAGATAAAGAATGGGAATAACATAAGTTCTAATTTTCAGCTATCCCACAAAATTCAATCACACTGCATTAATAACAAAGATCCTTCATAGTCTTCAGTCCTTGCTCGTGAACTCACCCATCCAGCTACCACAACATTTGTGTAGGGTTGTTTTTTCTGTGGGATATGAGAAGCAGTTCATAGAGTCTACACATAGCCAATGCTGTGCATATACTCCAGTGCAGATAAGTATCTGTCAACTCCCATGCATGTTGAGGGTCCCATTGGGTCCACAGCAGCACAAAGTCCAGCCAGGGGGGGTCAAAGGGCAATCCCTCTCAGGGACATGGACACCACAGTTGGGATCAGAGGGTATAAGGCCACTACTCTCCCAGTCAATCCGAGGGATGTGCAAATCCTTTAAGATAAGCAGTAATTATTTCTCCTGCCTCAACTCCATGCTCTGCTGAGCATATCTGACAAATACATACCTCATCGTTGTACTCTTCAGAGTTGTGTAGTTGTCTCATGTGCCACAGTTGGTTGGGAGTGAGATTTCTCTCAGTTGAAAGGAGATGATCGTCCCAGCCATCTGTGAATACATCAAGCTGGGCTTGCAAGGGGGGAATAAAGACGTAATGGCAGCAGAATAGGTGAAGACTACTGGACAGGTCAAGGAGACCTTCCTCCTCCAGCTGGTGCAGCACTGTAGAAAAGGCAAGTGACCGCTCTGAAGACATCTCGCCAGAGACGTTCGATTCTGTTAAATGCACATAATTTAGAATTTTAATTATTAATTCAGAATTTATCTGATGTATGTACACTCACCTAAAGGATTATTAGGAACACCTGTTCAATTTCTCATTAATGCAATTATCTAATCAACCAATCACATGGCAGTTGCTTCAATGCATTTAGGGGTGTGGTCCTGGTCAAGACAATCTCCTGAACTCCAAACTGAATGTCAGAATGGGAAAGAAAGGTGATTTAAGCAATTTTGAGCGTGGCATGGTTGTTGGTGCCAGACGGGCCGGTCTGAGTATTTCACAATCTGCTCAGTTACTGGGATTTTCACGCACAACCATTTCTAGGGTTTACAAAGAATGGTGTGAAAAGGGAAAAACATCCAGTATGCGGCAGTCCTGTGGGCGAAAATGCCTTGTTGATGCTAGAGGTCAGAGGAGAATGGGCCGACTGATTCAAGCTGATAGAAGAGCAACTTTGACTGAAATAACCACTCGTTACAACCGAGGTATGCAGCAAAGCATTTGTGAAGCCACAACACGCACAACCTTGAGGCGGATGGGCTACAACAGCAGAAGACCCCACCGGGTACCACTCATCTCCACTACAAATAGGAAAAAGAGGCTACAATTTGCAAGAGCTCACCAAAATTGGACAGTTGAAGACTGGAAAAATGTTGCCTGGTCTGATGAGTCTCGATTTCTGTTGAGACATTCAGATGGTAGAGTCAAAATTGGCGTAAACAGAATGAGAACATGGATCCATCATGCCTTGTTACCACTGTGCAGGCTGGTGGTGGTGGTGTAATGGTGTGGGGGATGTTTTCTTGGCACACTTTAGGGCCCTTAGTGTCAATTGGGCATCGTTTAAATGCCACGGCCTACCTGAGCATTGTTTCTGACCATGTCCACCCCTTTATGGCCACCATGTACCCATCCTCTGATGGCTACTTCCACTAGGATAATGCACCATGTCACAAAGCTCGAATCATTTCAAATTGGTTTCTTGAACATGACAATGAGTTCACTGTACTAAAATTTACCACATTTACCTTTGTGGTAAACGTCTCGGGTTACGTATGTAACCCTGGTTCCCCGAGAAGGGGAACGAGACACTGTGTCGGTTACGACACTATGGGAACGCCTCTAGGCGAAGCAGGTCTGAACATGAATGAAATCACTCCAATCCTATTGGCTTGTTGCTAGAACGGTAAGGTGTGACGGAATAACCGGAGGAGTATAAAGCACACCTGTACACACTCATCATTAGCTTAAACTATGAAGCAGGCGCTTCAGGCGGGGAGAGAGGTGCGGCGGGCCGACGCAGTGTCTCGTTCCCCTTCTCGGGGAACCAGGGTTACATACGTAACCCGAGACGTTCCCCTTCGAGGGAACTCGAACTGCGTCGGTTACGACACTATGGGAACCAGATACCCACTAAACCGTGCCGAAAACCCCACCTGCCCTTGTGTGCAATAAAGTGGCACGACTAAGAGGAGAGCGCACGAGTGCCAGGTGCCGAAGGAAGGTCAAGACTGTAAAACCGAATGAATGTGTGCGGAGTGGCCCAGCCAGCCGCTAAACAAACATCCTGCAAGAGGCCCCGGAAAGGAGGGCTCGAGAGGCCGCCATGCCTCTGGTAGAATGAGCCCTCACAGCCACAGGTGAAGGCAAACCGCGCACCTGATAGGCCAGGGAAATAGTCTGAACAATCCAGTTGCTAATAGTATGTTTGGATGCAGGGAGCCCGGCCCTGGGAGACCCAAAACACACTAGCAGCTGGTCAGCCTTCCTCCAACGGGAGGACCTCAGAGTGTAAATACTCAGTGCTCTGACAGGGCAGAGCAGATGAAGTCTCCCATCCTCCGCCGTCACATGAGGTGGAGGATGAAATGCCTGCAGCACTGTGGACCCTGCCGCACAAGAAGGCACTTTAGGGATGTATCCTGAACGAGGGTGCAGGATAGCCCTAATATTCCCCGGGGCAAACTCCAGGCTTTGCGGTCAAGTGCTTAGCCTCAGCTGACTCCAGGGGTTTGAAGGGGGCCTCACCCAACGCCCCAAGAACCACTGCCAGATCCCAAGTGGGAACCTTGGACCGAGTCGCAGGTCTCATCCTCCGGGCACCACGGAGGAAACGTACAACCAAGGGAAGTTTCCCCAAGGACCCCTCCCTCAGAGGGTTGTGGAAAGATGAAATAGCTGCCACGTACACCTTGAGGGTGGAAGGGGAAAGACCAGCAGAGAACTGGTCCTGGAGGAACTCAAGTACCTGAACCACCGGGCAGGTAACAGGGTCCACCAACCGCTCCCTACACCAAGTGGAGAAAACACTCCACTTCAGGCCGTACATCCTCCGTGTGGACGGGGCCCTGGAGCTCAGGAGGGTCTCGACTGCTCCGGCTGTTGGACCCGCCTCTAGGTACTGTGCCCCCTCAGGGGCCAGACCCACAGTCGCCATATGGCGGGGCAAGGGTGAAGAACCCGGCCCTGCGCCTGGGACAGCAGGTCTCTCCTCAGAGGGACCCGCCACGGCGGGCCGTCCAGGAGCGACATGATGTCCGAGAACCACATCCGGGTTGGCCAGAACAGGGCTACGAGCAGTAGGCCGACATTGTCCTGGCGGACCCGCTCAAGAACCCCGGGAGCAGAGCGACTGGGGGAAAGGCGTACAGACGTAGCCTCGGCCACGAATATACCATGGCGTCCAGACCCAACGGGGCTGGAGGAACGAGAGAAACCATAGCGGGCAGTGCGTAGTCTCTTGAGAAGCAAACAGATCCACGTCTATGGGGCCGAACTCTTCGCACAAGAGCTCCACCACTTCGGGGTGAAGTCTCCATTCCCCGGGCCTCAGCCCCTGCCTCGACAGCAGGTCTGCTCCCTGATTCTGCGTCCCCGGGAGATACATCGCCCTGAGCGATAGTAACCTCTGCTGGGACCACAGGAGGATCTGACGCGCCAGTCTGTCCAGAGGGCGCGAGCGCAGACCGCCCTGGTGATTCAGATAGGCCACCACCACTGTGTTGTTCTCTTCGGAACGAACCAGGACGTGGTGGCCTTGGAGATCGGGCAGGAAACTCCTTAGAGCCTGGAACACCGCCAACATCTCGAGACAGTTGATATGCCACTCGGATTGATGCACCTGCCAGGATCCCCTTGCAAAGCGGCCGTCCATGACCGCGCCCCAGCCCGTGACCCTCCCAGCACGGGCCCCTGGGACAGGAACCAAGTTTCCTTCCAAACTGATAGGGAACGAAGACACTTGCGCGTAACCCAAATCAGACGGAGAGGATTTCCCCTCGGGGAAAAACCCTTGTTCATTAGCCACCACTGCATGCTCATGTGCAGCAGTCCAGATGGTATTACGCTGGACGCAGCCGCCAGGAGACCCAACACTCGTTGAAAGTGTTTCATAGTGATGGCGTGGCCTAACTTCACCCCTTTCACGGCAGCCAATATGGTGTCGACACGTGCCGGAGACAATTGTGCCCGCATCGTTGTCGAATCCCATACAACCCCTAGGAACGTAGTCCGTTGGGTGGGCGCCAGCACGCTCTTCTTTGCGTTGAGCCTCAGCCCTAAACGCCGCAGATGAGCCAGAACGACATCTCGATGCCGAACCGCCAACTCTCGAGACTGGGCTAGGATGAGCCAGTCGTCGATGAAGTTGAAATCCGGATGCCCTGGAGCCTCAGCGGGGCCAGTGCTGCATCCATACACTTGGTGAATGTGCGAGGGGAAGTGCCAGGCCGAATGGAAGAACCCGATACTGGTAAGCCACACCCCCGAAGGCAAACCTCAGGAACTTCCTGTGAGAAGGACGGATGGAGACCTGGAAATAGGCGTCCTTTAGATCTATCGTGACGAACCAATCCTCAGATTGGATGTGCGTCACGGTGGCGGGGATGATGAGCATCTTTAACCTGAATCTCCTCAGAGACCGGTTAGAACCCGCAGATCCAAAATAGGGCACGCAGCCCTCCGTCCTTCTTGGGGACTATGAAGTACCGGCTGTAGAACCGGTGTCTCTGTCTGGGGGGGAGACACGTTCCACGGCCCCTTTCCTCAGCAGAGTACGAACTTCCTGTCCCAACACCGGACCTTGCTCCGGGCGGACCACAGTCCAAACCACCCCCTCTCTTCTGTTGAATTTGGAGGGCGGGTTTTGAACTGTAGTCGATACCCATCTATGGCAGTGCGCAGGACCCACGGAGAAATGTTCGTCAGGCTCCGCCAAGCCTCTGCAAAGTCTGCCAACGGAACCAGCCCCTCGGGGCTGGTGGTCGGTGTCTCGTGTGATCTTCTGGTGGACCCCTGAAGCCCCAGAACGGCAGGGGGGAGCCGCCGAAGATCCACGGTGAGTGAGTCGGGGCTCCGCCTGACTGCAGACCCTCAGGGCAGGCAGTACGGCGTGGACTCGATGGTGGCAGGTGCGTCCTGAACGTGTAAACGGCGGGATAACATCACCTGTTGCCACGGCGGAGGGGACCTCGGTCGGCCTCCCTCTTCCTCAGAGGGACCCCCCCTCTGAACCATCTCCTGTAGCAGGTCGGCTTGGTAGGCTTGAAGCACCGCCATGGTGTGCAAGCTCGCACCTGCCTGGCCCGCTGCCATGTACGCCTTCCTCACGAGCGTGGATGTGGTGCGACATGGTTTGGTTGGTAACGCCGGCTTCTCCAGGGAGGACGCAAGTCGAGGGGAGAGATAGCTCGCAAGCGCATCCTCCACCCGAGGCATCCTCCCATAACCACGGTCCCTAACCCCCATCACATTACTGTAGTTCAGTGATCGGGGTGTGTAAAGCCATGTAGAGAAGGGTCTGCCCCATGATTACTCAGTTCATCATGTAAATCAGGAAAGAATGGCAGAGACCGGCGTGGAGGTGGTGCGTGGTGCTTAAGAAACCTTTCATCAAGCTTACCACTAGCCTGTGGTGTCTGCTCCTCCTGTGGCCAGTTGATGTTGAGCTTAGCCACGGCTCTAGTCACCACCTCCAGCAGCACGTCATAGTCGG